AAACCTAATTCGTTATTATTATTGCTTCTCTCTCTCTCTCTCTCTCTCTCTCTCTAAAATCAACCTACAATGCGCCGCGAGTAACCGTTTCAATCTCTGCTCCGAGAGAAAAGTTACGATAAACCGTGAAAAACAGTAAAAAGCGAAGGAGAAAACTTCCATCCTTTCCCCAGCTACGTATCTCCATCTCTTAAAAAAAAACGTAACAAAAACGCTTTCGTCGATTGCAACTACCGCCTAGCGTATCTCCATCTTCCAGAAAACGTAACAAAAAACGTGTTCGTTGATTGCAAAAAACGCGAGATCGATGCAGCAACAGAATAATGTTTTCGTATAAAAATATGTCCCGTATTTGGAAAAATCACTATTTCACGCATTTGCATGGACACGAAGAGGGAAAGAAAGAAAGAAAGAAAGAAAGAAAGAAGAAAAAAAAGGCAAAAGAACAGAGAAATTCTGTTCCCAGGGAGAGAAGAGTGAGGATCGGTCTCGAAATTGATAGTGTTCTGTGTAAACGTAAACCCGGCTTGGTTGGCCGTGTATCAAACGATTTAAAAGCTTCATCGCCTCCCATTGTCTACTCGATGATCAAAGCGACAAACGATGATCACCAAAAGCTGAAAACAAAAACTGAAGCGAAACTAAACTAAACTGTGGGGGGATGGATGGATAGGCTGTGCAGAATTGTGACGATTCTCGCGGATCGAGAAACGCGGTCGAGAGGAAGGGTGGATTTGTAGAGGGTCAAGGCTGGTCGACAGATCCTCGTCGCCGTTTTTCTCTTCACTCACCTCTCGAAGAAAAAGCTTTTTCCCCCGATATTGCCCAGTCACCGCGGTTTATATTGGCCTACATGAGTCACCCGAAACGTGGCCCGATCCATTACAGTGAATCGGGCAATTTGTCTGGGATGGGGAGGGTAAAAAATGAGGAAGAATGTACGAGATCTTTCCCCCGACGATTGCGGGAGGAAAGCTGTACTTTTTCTTTTCGTTACGCGAAGTGATTGGCTAATTGGTTCTTCCAGAGATGTAGTTTGAAAGAGAAAAATCTCTAAATTTCGAGAGTATAAATATTGAATATTTTACTCTTCGATTATTTTCTCTCCATTTTCTTGACTGGATTGATAAAAATGTAAAGAGGAAATTTATTGTTTAGATTAAATTTGTTCGGTATTTTGATCGATGAATTATGAAAATTAAACGGAGATGTGTTCGTCGCAGCTGTGTAAATATTTGAATATAACGAAATCTCTTAAATAATGAATAAAAATTCATCTCTATAAACGATCGAACTTTAAATTAATAGAATGATTGAAAGCCATATTACTTTCAAAAGAGTTAGTCGCGATATTATAACAAAAATTAAAAAATAAATTGATAAAATGAAATAAAAGGAAACACGAACAATAGATTCAATTTTCACAAACTTTTGCCTGATTCTCACGGATTTTATACAAAGCTACCATTAACTTTTTAAAAAATATTATCTCATAGTCTATTAAAATGGAAAAAACAATCTTTTTAAATATGTCAAAAAATATTTGCTGATCGAAAAATTTTTCTCACATTGTTGCGAATAACGGATATTCATATTCATTCGTACACAAAGTTATTAAACTATTCCGTGCATAAATCGAACAGAATCCAACCAGATATAAGCATTCCTTTGACGCAGATGGTCCACAGCAAGACAACACCATAGTCGATAATCCCACTAATCACTAAATCAATATAGCTTTAATTGCGCGAGCCCAGAACTACGCATCGAACAGAACACAACCTTACGACGAATTTCCTTCCTCCACTCCACCATACTTTTCTCACTCATCCCATCACGAAACCCAAAAAACATGTATCGTAAAAATAGGAAAACCAAAAACGTAAAACGCGAGCAGAAAAAGAAAGAAAGAAAGAAAAAGAAAAGGAGAATCGCTTTGCAAATTTACCCGCGTTCTGAAAATGAGCGAAAACGGGTCGACGCGAGCGCCGCGTCGCGGCGATCAATCATCTTAATAGCGTCGAGGATCGCGCGTAAAAAGAGGCGAGGAGTGGCGCGATCAACGATGAACTTAAATGGAAAACTCGACGGATGAACAGGCGGCGATTCATCAAAGTCCGCCGACGGAATCAATCTTCTTTCGGGGGCCGATACTCGAATTCCTGTGGAAAACGAGCGACGGCCCGTGAGATTTATTTATCGCGTGGAAATTGCGATCGAAAAAGTCGCGGTTAAACGAGGGAACAAACACTATCGCCGATTTCACGTATCGATTCGAATATGTGATTTGTGAGGCCACTTTTAGTAAGTAAGTAAAATAGAAATTTAATCCGTAAAAAGTGTCTCCTTGCGTCTCTGTTCTTGTGGAAAACGAGGTATGTCAGAATGTTCGTATTAATTTCTTTTATTAATATTTTTTTGGCTCGTGTCATCTTGCAATTCTTTTATCAATTGTTTTTAATTTTATTAATATTATTAATTAGTATCGTATCTAATTATTAGTAATTTTAATGTTAATAAATTGGAAAAATTTTAAAAACAAATTGCATTAAAAGCTACAAAATAGAGCTAAGATAAGGTTTTTCTTACTTACTTTATATATCATTCTGCATTCAATATAACAAATATATAAATTCCGATCAATATGAAACTGATATAAAGGATATCGGTTCATGTGCGATATTTTTGGAAATTCATACAATTTCAAAAATGTTCTGATTCCGATGCAACATATTTCCCTCGAGGTCTATTAAAACCGAAAATTAAAGCCCGTTTGCAACTATCGTGACGATTTTGAAACCAAAGCGTGAATACCGTGCGTATAAAAATACAAAAAAAAAAAAAAAATATATATTCTGCTCAATTTCTTTTTCGATATACCATTTCGATCGTTTTAATGCATACGAAAAGCAAGCAGCTTTCCTCTTTGAAATTACGAAACGAGATTCGTAAAATATTTTATTCTATCGACGCAAACAGTCCATCTATTTTTTCCCGAATTTCCATTTATTAAATCTCCCATACTTTCAGAATTTATATTTCCACACCGTGACACCAGATCCTCCGAATTCTATCTAGGAAATTGAATTTTCATCGAGAGAAAGGAAATTCTGGGAATCCACGAACATTTCATCCATTACTGATATTAAACAATCGTCAATACGTAATAATAAACTTGATCAACCAGATATAGGCAGCATCTCGCGTAAATAATGAAACGATACGTTTCCATTAATCACATAACATTCGAATCAGCTTCGTTGCTAACGAATGAAACAGTTCGTTTTCCAATGGCGGCGTAAGCAAACAGAGTGTAGATTTCGTAAACGATTTATTGAGAATCGTTATCATCGAATAATTTTTATTCGTTAGCAAAAATTTGGAATTGCACGTTTGATTTAACATTCTTTTT